CCCGATGAGCCGAGATTCACTTCACTTGGCAACTCGACTGCTCACTTCGGTGCAGGAAATCTATGAACGGGGTGGACAGCTTTGATACCCGGTATTGAGTAAAGCCTGGCGAGATCCTAGAGTATGGAATACTCTTGCTCAACAAGAGTTTTTGACAGTGTAGCACGCACGTACCGAATCATCCTGGAATCAATGAGCTAAGAAGAATATATCCCCTCCGAATAGATGTGGCTCACCTTGATCGTCAACGACATTCCCATGAGGACACGCGGAGTTCCATACTCGTGGTGAGTCTCATAATTCAGTCCCCGAGTATCTAGGTGCTGGTACATCCGTTTGTGGATATGAGTCTACCCGCTCATCATCAGTTCATATCCAGAACGGCAGATCGTCAGAGGGCACCCGGCAGACGCACCGGACTCGCATCCCTGCGGAACACTCCGTGTGTTTCGTCAATTTCGATGATATATCGCTTGTCGATGACCTGAAATTTGGATCCAGGAGCCCCGGTCACCAATGCGAGAGTTGGAGCGAGTAGAGATGATATGATAAGAAAAAGTGAAAGTGTTGAAGACATGCTCGGCAGTCTCTACACAGGAGAACTGAACGGGAAGTGTAGATGAAACGTAAGTACGAAAAAAAAAGAATAAAGGAGATCAACTCCTTGCTGCAAGCTAGACGCGGGTGGGGGTGGGAAGGACCTCACCTCAAATTACCCTTACATTGCTCTCTTTATACTGCGGTATTGATGATCCAGGTACAATTCGCGCTGGGCGTGATGGCATAGTAATGCACAGCCCTTACCGAGGATAGCATTGTATTAGCTCTGGCGGCGTGGCGGCGTGGTCTTCGTGAGCGTCCACAAAGAAGCGAATCATACTTGGAACATCTAGGGCCGTATACGAACCGATGACCAAACAGTAGAGAGGTAGTCAAGACAAGAGCGTACCTGAGAATTCTGTGGCAGCTATCTCGCGTCGGCCACGCGCCGGGTTGGCAATGGTTGGAGATCTGCGCTGTCCGGCAAGGTGATGGCTTCTGCCGCCACATATCTATAAACGTATAGTCATGATCATAACACACTTCGTACCCACATCTATCAGCACAGGACTGGCGGTGTCAGAAGGCAGAGAAATCGAAGAAAAAACCTCGAGGGTGCCGTAGATCTCCTAAGACCTTCAGTTACTGTGAAATCTGAGAGACCACCGAGTGAGGAAACCTCACTACCATCCGTCCAGAGAGAGCCCCAGTGCATCGGTAACAATTTGATTGGCTGCTTGGCACCAGGGTACGGGCGTCTAGTAGATTGATGGAGGCCAGGACCAAGAGGTGAACGGTGGGAAAGTGGGCGCGCATCGATCATGTGAGCCCTTCTATTTCTCTGTCATTCCAATCACAAATTGAAAGTGAACACTGGGTGCAAGAACCCGTAAGTTTCGGGAGAAATGTAAGATTGACATGAAAACTTATGCAGGGAGAATTTACCGTGATTCTTGTGACCCATGCAAGAGATATTTGAACCAAATTCGGTCCATATGAGAAGCAATTTGATAGAAAGTCCAAACCTGGCCTTTCTATCCCATTTCTGTCCATTTTTGGTATGGAATAACTCTTGCCTTTGTTCTGGCACTTACGCTAGGATCTCCTCGCATAAGGCTCAGCATCAGTCTCCCATAACTCTCAAAACTTATGCAATCCTGCGCCCAGTGGAAGTTTCCGCAACTGTGTCCGGAATGGCGAGTCAACCAGGGCCTGCGAAGCCGCTCGTCTGACTGATCAGATTTGTACTCACGAGTCACTTGACATCCTCAAGAGTCAGCTCTTCAACACTGGTAGCATGGGCATCCTCACGATTAGGGGATACTTCATGGTTTATATAGCTATATTTTCCTGCCAAATTCGAATATACAATAAATAGTTTGACCGGAGGGCTTAGCAATGTGTGCTTCGTTTTCCTCGGACTTGAGAAGTTGGCAGACTGGAAGTCCCATTACGTGGAGACCTATACTTTCCCAGTTCCGTCCGTCTTGGCGAGAGGAAATCGAAACACGAAGACGTGGGGTGATATGATCCTGTACATGTGAGAAGAAGGTAAACTTTTGAGTGGTATGTTGATCATGTGGGTGCTTCGCGTGTAGGAGCATTTGTTGTTGTTGCCTCGTACCCGAGTTTGCCCCTAAGTGAAAATGAGTTCTCTTGAGAAGGTCGTCTTGGGAATCAACCCGCGAGTGACAAAATCCTGAAAGGAAGCAGGCGCTGGCCCATACAACTCGTCCCCTACGAGGTTTGAGATATCCGAGCTCATTGAGTACGTTATGTTCCAGTGGACTATGAATCTGAACGAACAGAAAACAATCACTCTTCAGCGACGAACGACTGGTCATTGAATTCAGAACTCTCGCTCGCCTTCCAATCTCAGCAGCCACATAACCACTGCCTCCGATAACTTCCGGTTTGGTACTGTATTCTCTGTCAAAGGGCTCGCCGAACGCAACCATCGGCCATTCGGTACCATTCGGGAGCGTGACGGTGACATTGACTTATCGACGGAGGCCCCAGTACTTCACGCCGTTTCGATCAGCACGAAAGACTCATTGAAAGCTGTGTGCCGTTCCCGATCCGTTGTGTATCATTCAAAACGCAACTACATGTCGCCATTGTACGATCACACGACAGTTCGATGAATGGTGGGATGGATGCGGTGAGAGCAAAACGTATTCCGATTCTGCGAATGCCAAAGAGTTTAAACTGATAATCCAACGGCAAGAACAAATCGCATACCGTCTATGCGACATTCGGCTAGGCAGCCGCATGCAGAATGAACCACGAAAGAGTGACAGAGTTCAATCGAATCACGAGAATCATGAAGTTTACGCATTGATCTCCTCACTATCTAACTGTCCCACATCGACAGTGAGCCCATCCATGTCTCGTCTATCTAGAATGCACCTCATCCCGTAGCTCTCAAGCTTTTGTCGTCGGGACTCCATGTCCTTCCAGCCAAGACTGGTAAGCTTCATGCCTTCATAATTGTACTTGACCAATTCCCCATCCGCCGATGCCCATAGTGCAAACGAGGGGCTGATGACGAGTTCACCATACGTAAGAAGGTGAACTAAGGGTCCAAAGTCATCCGAGTTTGCTGTAGCCCTCGATTCCAGCATAAGGAGAAAGCGGTGTACGAGGTCCAGCGTGAGTGGGCCGGATCCGGTGGGCTCGTAAACTCCCATGTCGACAACCCGGACAACGAGTGTATCCAAATCGGGTAACAGAACGTCGGTGCCCTCCGCTCTTGTCTCTTGCGAGACAGTGAGTAAGTGACAGAGGCGATAGAACGTTGAGTTCAACAGATCCTCGTACGGCATTCGAGTGAACAAGTGGAGTGATTTCAACTCCGGTGAGAGTGTGAAGAGGTCTAGTAGCCAATTCAATTTTGGAGAAAGGACAGTGATTAAGTGAAGACTCGTGAGGCTGCAACCCGATTGACGAAGGCAAGCGCACAGCGAGTTTCCGAAATGTCGCGCCTCGTCCGAATATTGCGAGAAGGCGATTTTTAAGACTTTCAAAGAAGGGACGGTAATCCAATCCATCACTTCTGCAGAACCGCCCGCATCAATCTCTGTATCCAAAGACTCCAGGAAAGGTAAGGCAATGGTCCGACCGCTTCGCGTGAGTGAACTTGGGTTCTCCTCAGAAATTTGAATGTTCAGCTCATTGAGCTGAGAAAATGTATGCGTGATAGCTGCAAGTTCGGCTTTCGATATTGGGTGTAAGCATTGCATCGAACGTAATGAAGAAGAACAGGATGGTTGATTGAGCACATTGGGCAATGAGAGACTTGTGAGTTCTGATACCACAAGTCTATCCAATAACGGGGCGGAAAGGAGTGTTTCAAGCTGCCGGTTCCTGAAGCTGTCCGTCGAAACATCCGAGGACGCATTGTAATAAGTTATGAGCGAGAGTGATTGCAGAAATGGGAAGGAGAGGGATCCCTGAAAATTAGTTCCCTGTATGAGAGCAAGGGGCACCACAAGATGTTTGGATTGCGAGAGTAGTTTCGATAGCAAGCCATGGGCTACGGAAGTAAAACCCTCATCTTGCACTTCATCAAAGCTCGAGGCCAGCCACAGGGTCAGCGGGTATGTGCGAGCCCTTTCAAGAAAGGTCTCAAGTTTGGCAATTCTACTTCTCGTGAGCGAAAACATCCCTATTCGCATACAAGCCCATAACTCGGGAAAGTGAAAAATGATATCTCTCCAGCGCAAACACGCGAGAGATAGAGTCAATGGTGTTGCTCTGCAGCCTGTTGGCTCAGAATCGAGCTCGATGGGAGGCGATAATGGGATGGTTGTGAGGTAGGGGGGAACTTCAGCGTGGTGGTACTCGTCGAGAAAACACGCTGCTCGGAAAATTTTCCTCCAAACTTCGGCAGGAAGTTTGCGCTGGGAGGAGATATAGTATCGACGAGCAGATATGCGTTTCTGAATGGAGAGTCTGTCGGCTTCTAGCTTCTGCAAGGTTGACTTCAGCGCATCAATCTCTCGATCATATTGCTGGAGAACGAGGCCGTCGGCATCTACAAGCTGTTGCTGTAGAACGGTTTCTGATTCGGATGGAAAGGTGGAAGACCGGAAGACTTCCATCGAGAGCGGACGGTTGTTATCCACCACCATTTGGCGACCGCACTGGCCACAGAGAAGGGTGCCGTGCTCGATCCTTTCTTCGGTCATTGATAATTACGATCTAAAGAGGGCAGATTCAACAGGTCAGCGCTCAAGCCTCGACTTAGCTCTACCTTTCGTCTACCTTTGAGGTTGCGAGTTGGTCTTGGTGTTATTCTACCCAGGGAATATCCACAGCTATTTGACGTAGATGGTGGTTGCGTTGAGAGCGCTGAAGGAACCCCGCCCACGTGCTTATCATATTATTGAATCTCCGAAGAAACGCCTCGCACGCTGTGATTGATACAACGTAGCTGCCCGCAAACCAAATTTACTCAAGATCCCTTAGCTCAGCGGTAGAGCATCTGATTCCAGACCTAGTGTTTCCAGAAGGTCGTCCGTTCAATCCGGGCAGGGATCAATTTTTCCTTCCAAAGTACTTGTCTTTTTGCTCCGGACTCGAGGAGTACACGCTGATGGCATAAGCCAGAATCAAACATAAAAGGGCGAGGCCGAGGTTATTCAAGTACTCCTTCGCATCGTACTGGACGAACAAGTAGGTACAAATTTGTCTTCGGCGTAGGTCTAGCTCAATCATCTGTGGTTCATTCCTTCGAATTACCGTACAGTATTATACATAGTAAGTATTCGAGCATAGATAAGTACTGCCTATCGTGGTTTCGTGAGTATCATACAAGATGTTTCCTTCACTCCTACTAAGTACATTTCCAGCGTTGTGGTCCTCATCAAATACCAACCCTTCATTCGCTATGGCTTGCCGCTCCTCCTAGCTCCAGCCCCGGAACGTTAATGACACATTCCGGTACTTCTCGCCCAAGAGCCTCCCTCCGACGTATGACTTCATCCTTGCCCATATCAACCGGTCCCGGCTGTCCACCCGTCACCTGGTGGCGTACAGACTCGCGGCAGGTAATAATGAGCTGTGCCTGACGAAGTTTCGAGATATCTCTCGGTCGAGACTCTAGCATGCGCAGAAACTCGCGAGCCATATCGAGCGCGGTGGCTTCCCATGATGTCTCCGTTTTGAACCCATGGATACGGAAAGTCAAGGAGGTTACCGATGGAAGGGGTAAAACTTGCACGTCTCTCTCGCGTGTGGTATTAACGGTGAGGAGAGAGCAGAGGCGATAGAACACGGTGTTGGTCATGACACTACGATCAAATGGTGTTCCAAATCCAGAATTTATGGATTTCAGCCCGGGAGAGAGGTGAACGAGGTCTGATATCCACGCCGGATCGGACGAAAGTGGGGATTGTGGTAGGGAAATATGTAGTGTTTCCAAGGGGGATATCTCGCCGTTGGAGCGTCGAAGGCAGTTGGCGAGTGCAACGCCGACGCGTGAATCGTTGGTGGCGAGGTCTTGCGAGGCGAGACTGAAATGGGTGAGAGAGGGAAGAGCTACGGAGTCGAGGAGGTCGGTAATGTTGGAGGCACAACCATATTCATCAGCGATTGCCAGAGATGTGAGATGAGGGAAAGTGAGCTGTGACTCAATGCGGGAGAGCATGCGAGTAGAAGATGGGACGTAGAGTCGTAGGGAGGCTAGGAGAGGAAACATTATAGGGAAAAGTGGCAAGTCGACCAAGAACATGCATTCAATTGATCGCACCGATGTGGAGGGTACTGGAGAAGCTAGCCATCTCACCCTGGGGACTGTGATTGAAGTCAGCAGGGGAGACGACACAATAGCTTCCCTGTGTCGCTTGGCAAAGGGAGAAATGAACGTTCGTTCATAAAAGCTGTCGATGACTACAGCTTGAAGGAGAGGAAACGAAAGGTCCGTTTCGGGGGGAAGCAGTTGCTGGAGAATGTTCAGATTAATTTCCAGGATCTTAGACTGTGCGATGGCTTGGAGGAATGGGCAATGGAAAGAGGTCATAAAATCATTCCTCCATTGGGTGCCAAGTCCTCCGCGAAAGCGAAGCGTGAGGGGGAAATTTCCGGCTCTCTCGAGGACAAATCGCAACGCGATTGGGACAATAGAGTGCTGATCTTTTGCCCGGGGAAGGTGCAGAATTATAGATGACCAAAGGAAGGGGAAGCCGAAGATGATCTGCCTCCAGAGAGAGCAAATGCGAGACAGCCGTAGAGGGCTCGCCTTGCAAACGCTTGAATTGATTTCGATAGGAACTGGTTGGTCCTCAAGGGCCAAGAAGTTTGGGTCCGGATCGCAGCGACACGCTTCAGAAAAGATTTGCCTCCAAAGCTCGACTGGTAACTTCTGCCCAGGCCAGTAACGTCTTCTCTCCATGTGTTCCCGGACCATCAGCCTCTCAGGTGTGAGAAGCGTTGTATCATCCCTGGAGACACCCGGATCGGTATTCTCCTGGTACGGGTGTGCGCCCGAAGCCAAGATTTGGCTGTGTAGTATGTTTTCTGGCCGGCTAGGAGGAGAAAATGAACGCAATGGATCGACCGGGGTCTCTGCTTTGATCGTGAGTTCTTCCATTTGCCTGGAAGTCGACGCTTCGAGAACCTGTAGTCCAAGCAGTCAGTTCAAAGCGCTGGCTAAGGTATCCGAAGTGAAACGTACCTGATGGTCAAAGTAAATCCCTAGGCTGCTACCCTGGCAAACTGGCCTTCAAAAGGTTGACTGTCGTTGTGAAGGGCATGGATGACAGCACAGCGTGGCGTCATACTAACTTTACGGCTAACACTTAAGCGCCGAGTGGCTATGAAGCATGAAGCGCGCAAAGACAACAAGTACAAATCAGCAACGGATTCCTCCTTACCCCCATGTCGTTTTTCTGTATCCTGTTCATGTGTCCGATGATGCGTGAATTCGGACTGAGATCATCTCAAATCATCATCATATAGAAGTCGTTATCTTCGTCATTTTTCACGAACGGCTCGCTGCTTTGGACAGAGTTGAAAGCTCGAGGTACGCGAACAAGGCCATATTCCAGGCGCCTTTATTGATATTTCATCGCGTTTCTAGCAAGTAAAAGCTGCTGTTAGTTAGGTCACGGTCGACTCACGCGCTACTGTGGAACCCTTGGTAGAATTACCATCTCAGAACCGCCGGATCCTTCTTGTCTCGTCGCTCGAGAGTCGACCAGCTTCGCCGGTCTCAGTCCTGACCACACCACCGGCAACCTTGCATTACTTCAAGTTCAGAACACCAACGTTATGGGCACTTCTCCCTCGGTCAATGGAGGCGATGGATGGGCTCACCGAGTCCGCAGTACGTACCCGAGACGAGATCTGGCACGGCCATGTACTGACAAGACTTGTATGCAGGGAATAGGGCACTTGCTCTTCATCTCTCCTTGTCGCTGTTGCCGCTCCCCAAGGTTGTCATTTCTGTTCATTCAACAACATTGACCCACTCGTGTATGGGTCATTATACGCTCACCTCATCCCTGGTGTATGGGTGAACGTTTTACACTGAATTACATGAAAGTGCACCATGATCTGCCGTGCCTCGGTGAAGCGGAAGTACGGCGACTTTTCCTTGTTGGTCAGAGGGGTTACCGGTAGCTCTTCCGCCTCGATTCGTACAAGGGCTGGACCTCAGTTGTGGACGATGGAGCGCAGTGGCAAGCGTATAAATTCTGTCCTGTGTATGGCGCGTCTTTCCTTTGACTTTTGATCGATCTGTCACTTATTGTTTCAACCACAGCACACGCAGAGTGAGGGCCTACGTCGACCTCGTCCTTCCTGGTTATAACCGACGCTCGAACGGCTATTACCCATCTCCTTCGAACTGGTCTGGCCACCTGCCATGTGGTAGGAGTCACTGCACCTCATCAAACCGCCCGTCAGTGGTCATGTGCCACACGTTGCCGCTGGAGGCATTCTCTCTAGTTTTCTACAGAGGATCTCTTTCGCTCAGTGCCCGCTCAGCTCCGTGCTGAGACCGTCGTCCCAGATCTCCTCGGTCACGCCACGTTGTTGTCAAGCGGTCTCGCCGCCTGGCCGCTGGCAGGGAACCAATCTCGATCTCTCTTGGCCGCTCTCGACGAGCCACGCCCTCGGGCCTTCCTTTCGACCTCGGTGTCAGCCATGGGGTACTCGGTGCATCTAGCCCTCCACATATCTGAAGCCTTCGACCATCCTTCCCCGTAGATTCGGATCTATGAGGACCCTGTGCGATAGCAACGCCCCTTGGAGCAGAAAGAGCTGCCTTCACACAGTTGCCGAGGGGCAGGCTAACAGTCGTTGAGCGCTGCAGATGGATCGTATCGACATGACACGTGGTGGCGGATGAGGGAGCTTCTTTAGCAGTTCTTCGAACGGAAGTTATGGACGATGGGACGCCCAGTCTAAATCCCAGAAGAGGAGGAAGAACTGTCACGATCAACGTTCGTTGGAACTCTCGAATCTGGTCTTGTACGCAACTCGCTTCAATAAACGGGGAGCTTAGTCTCCATCGTTTGGCTCCTCGATGTGAGTCAACTTGATCTGTCAAAGGTAAGCATATCGAGTTCTTTACTCCCTACTCCAATTGTCTCGTCTGTTCGCGTCTTCTTCCGTGCCTCTCCCGTTCCCGAGTACAAGCGCCGCATACCAAGCGCTGACCGATTTCCTTCTACATCCAGGCTCCACTGAGTTCTTTGCTTCGTAATTCGATCGCGACAATTCGGTTGCGGCCATTTGGTTGAGATGGTACGTGGTGAAAAGTTGAACACCAGCGTCTCGATGATGCTGACATTTCTCGTTGGTCTAGGTCATTGCGGCTGCGTAAAACCCTCGATTACTACAAGCAATCCCGCAGCGGTCTTCCATCTCTCCTTCATCCCTTCGCTGACCTCCTCCCCCCCCTTATATCACGTGATTGATAGCGGCACTTGCCGTTCGCATTAGTTCAATGGCTGCGAACATTTTGTCACAAATTGTCCATATAATTGGGTCAACTGTCAATGAATGAATGAATGTTTCCCCAAGCTTCCCCAAACATTCGTATCTACTGAATGGAAGTATCACAATACTGTCCAACGCTATGGACCTCAACATTTTAGCCTGTGCGGGTGTTTCGACTTCTGACCGGGGTGGCAACGACCGAATCTAGTTTATAAGCGCCTAGATCTGTTTTAGTACCTCCTAAAGACTACCCTCGTCATGAACACCCAATTGGCTTTCTCCTGTGAGCTGGTATTCGTTGGGATGAGCGATGGAGTATGAAGCTAATATAGTCCATCCAGGTCTAGGGCTCGTGCTGACGGGCGCTGATTGGTGCGTGTGCTGGAACGACGAGAAAAAGATCATATGGAGGTGGGCCTTGGTCGTGCTTCTCCCGCCTCAAGCCTAGTTTTTTCATCTATTGTTCAGGTCGCCATTCAGGATCACAGCTGCAAACTTGCTTTACATTGCGATAAACTATCTCTCGATTGTAATTCATGCGTAAGTCTTTCGGTATCTCAAATGGCTGTAATGGGAGAACCTAGGCTGCTCTAGCA